GCGTCCCGGTTACCCCACCAGACGCGTCCTCGGCGGCGGCGAGACAAGCCGCGCCGCTTTCCCCTGCCTCGCTGGGGGGGGCCCTTCTAGTGCGGGGTTGCCTCACCCCGTCACAGGCAGGTACCATAGATCTGGGTCTAGCTGCTGTTAGTGCCTGTGGGGTCCCCCTTGTGCCAGTGGACTGAGCCCCTGGATGGAAGGTGCAGTTCTCAGTGTCCTTTTCTAGCTGTGGCTGATCTGTAACATGCTGGTCTTCCCAGTGAAAGGGGCTGGGGCTGAGGAAGGGTGGATGAGGCAGTTCATGCTCTGTGGGTGTTCTGTGGGGGTAGCTCTGTAGTAGATAAATGTGAGCAGAGCGGTCCTTGCATTTCAGGAACGGGCTGGGTTTCCTTTCAAAAGTCCAGCTTTATTCTCTCTGGGGCTCACTTGTCTCTGTGTGCAATGGAGATAAACACTTCATCTGTCTTGTCTTTTTAGAGTGAAATATCTTTGGGTAGAGACTTTTTCTTCCTATGTGAATGTCTAGCTTCATGCTCAGGAGACCTGTGTTCAGGTCTCTGTCCCTGCCACAGACTTCCTGTGTGATATTGGTCAAGTCACTTAGACTCTCTGGCTACGTCTACACTGGCCCCTTTTCCGGAAGGGGCATGTTAATTTCACCTATCGTAGTAGGGAAATCCGCGAAGGGATCTGATGTCTGTGCATTTAAAAATATCTTTTTGCTCTCCTCTGTAACTAAGTTCTAGGCCCATGGTGGGGTTCCTCCATGAGTATATTACGTTATTACTTTCCCATCTAGTCATGCTTGCAACAGGAATATTGTGGTGATGATAAAAGTTCTTTCTCTTTTCTTTTTATTAACCTGCTATTGGTTAATTTTTGTGTCCTGGGTTGTATTTTAGGGGTGAGATTTCCCAAGTGATCTCTCCCCTGATTTTCTTATCATTACTTGAGTGGTGGCAGCGAAGTTTTTATCCCCAAAATCTAGGTTGTTAAGATTTTGGGGGGAAGTTTTATACTAAAGCCTGGAAACATAAAATTTTGAGGTACTTTTGCTGGCCCCCACTTCTGCATTTATCGTGCCAGAGTGGGGAAGGAGCCATGATGCACCCCGACAATGGTACCAGCTCAGTCAACAGCCAGAACGCTGCCCCTCAGCCAGCCCCTCCTGTGACTTTTCCTCTCATACATTGACACAAACAGATGCATGTTACGTTCCATGTGTTGCTACCCCCTTAGCCTTCTGCCTGTTTGTTTGAATAAAACATCCGTATCCATTATCTCCTCATCCCTTCTGAGGTGCACAAGGGTCAGTGTGTTTCTGAACCATCTCTTAGGACTGTGTGTTTGCAGTTATTGCAGAGATCGGTGTGTTTATTGCCCTCCTCACCGTTCAGTAATATGCTTGCCTGGTTAGTTGGTACCCAGTGCCCTACCGTTCTGCCAAGGCCTGGCCTGTTCTGGTTAAAAAATGATGGACATAAACAAGATAATCATAGTCATCACATCAGAACATTCCCATTGACACGGCACACAACACACTTTGCACAAGGTTTCTTGGAGTTGTTTAAGAGTGGTAGCACAATGATCTCCATGGTCACAATTTAATTATATGACATCACAGGGGGATCTTCTAAACACTAAAAGATGGTCCAAGAAGGGGTCGGGCCGATGCTGTGAGGAGCATGCTCACAAGGTACAAATGTGGTAGATTCTGTGCAGCCCAAGGTAGGAAAGGGGGGCACCAAATGGCAGGCCAGAATGGCCACAAGCGGAAGGCTGGGAAACCACACAAAGGCTGCTGCTGCTGGCAGAAAAGAACCAAGGCTGCAAAGGGGGAGCTGAGCAACAGCCACAAGCACCAGAGAAGTAGCACAGCGCTGCCCTTGCTGGCCCTGGGAGCAGCCCAACACTGCCCTGGCCAGCTGCTGGAACAGCAGCTGTTGTGGGCAGCTGACAGGGCCCATGAAGGCACAGGCAGTTGGGGTCAGGAGCATAGGCAGGGCCTGAAGCAGCCAGCCAAAGGTTCACTCTAGCTGCGCAGGCAACTTCCTTTGCCTCCTTCTGGCTCTAGTAGAGCATCTGAGCCAAAGAGTGGGGCAAGCTGAGCCCCCCAGCCAGGAGCTTTGCGGACAGAGCCCTTGGGGAGCTTGAGTTCTCCTGTATCCTTTCTCTCCAAGTCCTAGTGACCTGCCGTGTGGCAGCTGCAATCTGAGCCCTGCCTGGGGACCTCAGTGTCAGATCTGCCAACCCTCACTAGAGCTCCCCTTCTGAGCAGTGTGTTCCTGTCCTTCCCTGGGATGAGGGGGATGGAACAGGCCTTGAGGGAGACTTAGTTGTACCCTAGAGTGTGCAGCAGAGCACTCAGCTCCCCCAGAGAATGAGCTGGGCCATTCCCAAAGCGGGGGGGGGATGCACCTTTACTGCAGGTGAGTGTGTCCTGGGATCTTGTACCAGCCAGAGCCCAGTCTCTGCAAGGCGGGGAAGGAGCCTCTCTGAGTGGGCGACTCAGATCCTGGGTTTGGAAGCAGTAATGGCACAGACCTTAATGAACAAGAACGTCACTTGCACCCCGAGCAGGATTTCCAATCTCCAAAGCTCATGTGATCTCCTGGGTGGAACGTGGGGAGGAGTTACAGATCCCAGATCTCCAGGGCTGTGAGGAAGGAGAGATCATCAGACTAACCCACACAGGTGAGGCCTGTCTTCAATTCCAGTCAGATGGTGGAGATGAAGGCTTGGTTCTCCCTTTTGGGAAAAAGTTATGGGGAAGGAGGGTGAACTTAGCTCATGATTATTCAACCTCTCCAGCCATTCTTTGGGTGTGTTCCCCTTTCTGTTCCTCTTTTAGAGTTTTCTTTCAGCTCAGCACAGGGAATGACTCCTCTCTGGATTCTCTCTCTGTCCCAGCAGGTGATGGGACGCTAACAGAGACCCATGAGAAGAAGTCAGTGTAGCCCACAAAGGCAGCAGGGAAACCATTTAGGAGAGGGACAGGGTAAATCCAGTCACAGAAGCAGAGGGGTGAAAACAAACACAGAAACTGTTCAACAGAAAATCCCCCATCAGCAGTTACCCTGCGCTTGCAGTGACCGTGCAATTCTTATTAAACATGTAAGAGCCCACACAGGAGAGAAGCCCTTCAAATGCTCTGATTGTGGGGAAAACTTCAATGAAAGCTCAGACCTTGATAAACACAAGAGAGCCCACACAGGGAAGAAACCCTTCAGCTGCTCCACTTGTGGGAAAAGCTTCAGTGAGAACTCAAATCTTGTTAGACATATGAGAATACACACAGAGGAGAAACCCTTCAGCTGCTCCGCCTGTGGGAAAAGTTTCAAGGAGAGGTCAGACCTTGTTAAACATGAAAGAACCCACACAGGAGAGAAACCCTTCAGTTGCTCAGACTGTGGGAAAAGCTTCAGTCAGAGTTCAAACCTTGTTGCACATAGGAGAACCCATACAGGAGAGAAACTTTTCAGCTGCTCTGTGGGAAAAACTTCAGTGAGAGCACACTCCTTGTTAAATATAAGAGAACCCACACAGGGGAGAAACCCTTCAGCTGCCCTGACTGTGGGAAAAGCTTCAGTCAGAGATCACACCTTGTTATCCATAGGAAAACGCACACAGGGGATAAACACTTCAGCTGCTCTGACTGTGGGAAAAGCTTCAAGGAGAGGTCAGACCTTATTAAGCATGAAAGAAGCCACACAGGAGAGAAACCCTTCAGATGCTCTGACTGTGGGAAAAGCTTTAGTTGCAGCTCACACCGTATTGAACATTGGAGAAGCCACAAAGGGGAGAAACCCTTCATCTGCTCTGACTGTGGGAAATGCTTCAGTCGGCGCTCACACCTTATTGATCACCAGATAATACATACAAGAGAGACACCCCATAACTGCACCAATTGTGGAAAAGGCTTCAAACACAGGTCAGATTTTATTAAACATAGCAGAACCCACACAGGGGAGAAACCCTTTAGCTGCTCTGACTGTGGAAAAAGTTTCAGTCAGAGCTCAAATCTTGTTAGACATTGGAGAATCCACACAGGGGAGACATCCTATAACCTGAGTTCCCTTTAAGTCAGGCCTGGGCAAAATATGGCCCCACGGATGCTTCAGGGAGCCCCAGACAGACTCCCTGCTTGCCTTGCCCCACCCCACCCTTCCCTGCTTTCCCGCTGCCCCTCAAGCCACTTAGCAATAGGAATGTTAAATTCAATTTAATCAACTAATGGACTAGTTGATGGAATTTCCATGAACTGGTCAATAAGCGGGGGAGCCACGGTGGGATTAGCTCCCAGCCCCGGGAGCTAACCCCGCTGCAGCTTTGCCTTTTAAATGTATTAAGAGCCGGCAGGCTCATTAGCTAGCTTCCTGTAGCACCAGCTCCTGGTTCCCCACCCCCACACATACACACACTGCCTCTAATAGAGGCAGCAAGGTGGGAGGGAGCACCTAGTTGAGGGCCTACTTGACTATCTGATAAGATTAAGCTTATGCTTTACTGTTTGCTTACACCCTGCCAGGTCCCATTTCCCTTTAAAACTATAATCCCGTTGGGGAGGTAGAAAACTTCAGGTGCTACCCCCACTCCTACCACAATACCATTATCTGGGTTCTGGACAGAAACTGGCCATGGGAGCTGCCTGTTTAAATAACAGGCAGCCACAAAGCACCACACCCTCACCCCTCTGGATCAGCTCAGCTATTCACACAAGCACATATCCAGGCAAGCTGGCTGAGAAACATTTTAAGCTCTGTGCTCTGCAGGGCTGCTGGCTGATAAGTCTCTTGGCCAGAGCCTGCACTCCAGCCCCTCCCTTCCACAACCCTCTGCCCTCCCCCCCCTCCTGCCCCCTTACCCTCTCCCAGATCTGGCACCCCAGTCTCCTGCCCCAGGTCACAATCACCTCCCTACCCTAGGTCACACCCCAAAACCCTGCATCCCAGTTCCCTGCCCTAGGTCACAACCACCTCCTTCACCCAGACTCCCTTCCAAACTCCATTTTCCCTCCTGCACCCTAATCGCTTACCTCTAGCTCCCTTCTGCACCCAACCTCCATCCCCAATCCTCCACCTTCTCCATTAATATCATGGAAGAGTGCGGGCCTTGACCACTTTCCAAAATCTTGGAATGACCCCCCCATCAAAAATTATTGCCTACCACTGCTTTAAGCTGTGTGGCCATGTGGCTGTTCTGCAGCCTATTCAATGCCATGTGAGTGCTTAGGGCTTTGCTGGGGAGAGATATGTCTACCCACTGATCTCAGCCCGGGCCCAGAGCTGCCTTGGCCAGAGGACAGTTGGCTATCCCACAGCCCCAGCCCCAGCGCTTCCATAGCAGGGAGAGGTGTCTCCCCACCCCCTTTCACAGTAGCACCTGAACAGGGAGACAGAGTTCATGGAAGTCTTCTCTCCTGGATGTAGCCTTTCAGTGGCCTACATTCAATCCCCTCTCTCCTTGAGATCACACCCCCAGCTGGAGCCCTCAACCTTCCACATTTCAAACCTCTATTTCAGCCCTGAGGCCCTCATCCCCAGCCCCACCCAGAGCCAGCCCTCTCTCCTGCAACTGATCTCTTTGCCCCAACCCTGAGCCTCCTTTGCGCAATCCAAACTGCTGGTCCCCAGTCCTGCCACATTAACTTAGTTCTGTTTACCAATACGGAGATGGTATGTTGCATCTCACCAAATCCAAGCAGGTTCTTATGATCCCCAAAGATTGGCCACATTTCCAGGTCCATTTAGACCTTAGATCCTACCTAAAAGAGCATGCTGTACCACTCCTTTAGAATCTAAAATCAAAAGATTTATCAATAAAGAAAGAAAATGTTGAGAGTAAAATTGTTAAAGGAAACAAATTACATATACCAGTTACAGTGTTCTTGGTGCCGGCTTGTAGTAGAGATGGAATAAACGGCTATCTTAAATATCTCTGGAGCACATCCTTTGTTAGGGTGGGTCATCAGTCCTTTTGGGCTCAATTTGTTGCAAAGATACTCCTGAAGTGATAAGCTAGAATGAAGACAAAGATAGAGGAACCCAAGGGCCATCTTTATACCCTTGTCCTTGTGGAGGGAATTCCATTGTTCTCTCTGTGCGAAAGTACCTCCAAAAATGGAGTTTGTCACATGACCAAGTTACCTGTCCATGCACGACTCAGTCCTTTTAGATAAGTAGCTGTGTCTTATGTGCTGGTGTGAAGTTACACAACAAGTTTTCAGCTGTGGATTGGTACCACTTGAGCTGTATTTTCAGTCAAGTATTGTTATTCATTTGACTAGCAACTCTTTCACAATAGCTGGATGAAACCTGTTGATAATCTCCCAGAAACAAACATATGAAATATAAGTACTGAGCCAATACTCATAACTTCAAGTAAAAAATGATACATGCATACGAGTACAAAAAATATTCTAAAGACAAAAGTATCCATTATGATTCGTGCAACGTTATCATTCGTTGCAGTCAGATGATTTTAAAAAACATAAATTTCACTTATTTCAGATATTTTAACTTGAAATGTCATGGTGGTGTAAGTGTTGGGGTCCTAACCACTAAAGGAATTGTGGGGTGTGAAGAGGTGTTTCAAGTTTTTTGTTAAGTATCAGAGGGGTAGCTGTGTTAGTCTGAATCTGCAAAAGCAACGAGTAGTCCTGTGGCATCTTAGGGTACGTCTAAACTACATGGCTCCGTTGACGGAGCGATGTAGATTTGTTGTTTTGGCAAAGGGAAATGAAGCGGCGATTTAAATAATCGCCGCTTCATTTAAATTTACATGGCTCCAGTCCTGCCACATTAACTTAGTTCTGTTTACCAATACGGAGATGGTATGTTGCATCTCACCAAATCCAAGCAGGTTCTTATGATCCCCAAAGATTGGCCACATTTCCAGGTCCATTTAGACCTTAGATCCTACCTAAAAGAGCATGCTGTACCACTCCTTTAGAATCTAAAATCAAAAGATTTATCAATAAAGAAAGAAAATGTTGAGAGTAAAATTGTTAAAGGAAACAAATTACATATACCAGTTACAGTGTTCTTGGTGCCGGCTTGTAGTAGAGATGGAATAAACGGCTATCTTAAATATCTCTGGAGCACATCCTTTGTTAGGGTGGGTCATCAGTCCTTTTGGGCTCAATTTGTTGCAAAGATACTCCTGAAGTGATAAGCTAGAATGAAGACAAAGATAGAGGAACCCAAGGGCCATCTTTATACCCTTGTCCTTGTGGAGGGAATTCCATTGTTCTCTCTGTGCGAAAGTACCTCCAAAAATGGAGTTTGTCACATGACCAAGTTACCTGTCCATGCACGACTCAGTCCTTTTAGATAAGTAGCTGTGTCTTATGTGCTGGTGTGAAGTTACACAACAAGTTTTCAGCTGTGGATTGGTACCACTTGAGCTGTATTTTCAGTCAAGTATTGTTATTCATTTGACTAGCAACTCTTTCACAATAGCTGGATGAAACCTGTTGATAATCTCCCAGAAACAAACATATGAAATATAAGTACTGAGCCAATACTCATAACTTCAAGTAAAAAATGATACATGCATACGAGTACAAAAAATATTCTAAAGACAAAAGTATCCATTATGATTCGTGCAACGTTATCATTCGTTGCAGTCAGATGATTTTAAAAAACATAAATTTCACTTATTTCAGATATTTTAACTTGAAATGTCATGGTGGTGTAAGTGTTGGGGTCCTAACCACTAAAGGAATTGTGGGGTGTGAAGAGGTGTTTCAAGTTTTTTGTTAAGTATCAGAGGGGTAGCTGTGTTAGTCTGAATCTGCAAAAGCAACGAGTAGTCCTGTGGCATCTTAGGGTACGTCTAAACTACATGGCTCCGTTGACGGAGCGATGTAGATTTGTTGTTTTGGCAAAGGGAAATGAAGCGGCGATTTAAATAATCGCCGCTTCATTTAAATTTACATGGCTGCCGCGCTGAGCCGACAAACAGCTGATCAGCTGTTTGTCCGCTCAGCACGCT